TGAAGTAGTTGAAGGAAAGATGGTTGTTTCTGGATACAGGAAGCTTGGGTCATTCTTGGTTCTTGCGATCTTCCTGACGAACTCTGCAAAATAGGAAAAGGGGGGAAAAGAAACATGGTGTTCATATTTATACTTTGATCCTACGCTAGTCCACTTTCCCTGGAGATGACTAGGCAACTTTGCTACAATAGGATTTACGCCCTGAGCAGTGTCTAAATAGCTAAGACCTGGCAAACTAGGATCTGATTTAGCAATTTCAAGTTCATGAAGGAGGTCACCTAACTCTCTAAGCCTATGATTGTCCTTAACAGAAATCTTAGGAAAGTCTTTTAGTCTCTGGAATAAGGCAGATTCAATGACTTCGGGGCTCCCATAGTCTTGTTCCAGACGTTCCCAGGCAGCATTGAGGCCTGCTTCAAAGTTGTAAATGTAGACAGATTTAAGTCTCTTTACTTGTTCTGAAGATTGACGCCCCAACCACCTTATTAGTAAGTCAAGTTCTGCTTGAGGTTCAATATCCAAGTTCTTGGTTACCGCCTTAAATGTAGATCTCCAACTCCAATAGTTCTCTGGGTGGTCGTCGAATCTCGACAGTCCAGTAGTAATTAACTCTCGCCGAATCATGTACTTACTGAATTCTGCAATATCAACCCTTTCAGTTTTTACATCCACAGGTGATACTGATGGTGCACCATCTTGGATCATGGTTGGTATCTGATGCTGGCTGATAGGTAGAGAGAAAGGTATTGCAGATGGGTTCAATCCAGGTAAGGGTCTGGTGTCTGAAGATCTTTGTGCGTTTGAAGTTGAAGTTAACTGTATAAAGGAGGTATAGAGTTCACTCTGTAGTCTTCTGTTGTGCCCTTGTAATCTCTATTCACATATGGTTGTGGTGGCACATGAGCTGGATAAGTTGGTACACTTAATTTTGTGGCACGCGGTAGTTGTGGAGTGTCTGTGTTGGAAGGTGCGTCTGGTTGGTCAGCTTGCTTTGACGACATGTTGCCTTCCGATTGACTTGCTGGATGATTATGGGAAGAATCTCCAACTGTAGGTGGAACTGTATCGTCGTGGTTCTGGGTTAAGACAAACTGTAGGGTCCTTTCAACAGGGTCTTGACAAGCAGCCAAGCTGGGACAATATGCTCCTTCTTCTTCTAAAAGGGCTTGTTCCAAGACGGATAATTCTGCTAAGGCTACTTCCTTTTCTCTATTCTTCTGAAGGATTTCTAGCTGGGCCTCTGATTCTGCTTGTATTCGTTTAGCTTCTGCCTTGAAGGCTGCTTCCTTGCTTTTAGCTTCTGCCTTGAAGGCTGCTTCCTTGCATTTAGCTTCTGCTTTGAAGGCTGCTTCCTTGCATTTAGCTTCTGCTTCCTTGAATTTAGCTTCTGCCTTGAAGGCTGCTTCTCTTTCAGAACAGGTGGCTTGAACCTGGGCTACTGCAACCTTTTGGCGAGCTTTGAGTATTTGGTCGCTCAATGTTGACCTTACAGAGCAGGACCGCAATGACTTAGAAGATGATTTATGATATGAGCGGGCAGATCTATTTGATTTTCCTGAGTGTCTGGAAGAAGCGGATATACAGGATGTAGTTTCCTGTAGTTGTGCTAATCTACCCTCTATCTGTGTCTTTGCTTCAATATAAGTGATATGTCTCTGCTGGTCAGTAGCAATAAAGTTCTTTAATTCTAGTGAAGCTTCCTCTACATTGGAATGTGACAAAAGGGAAGAGTACTTTTCAGAAAGTCTTTTATAATTCTCAAATGCCTTCTTAACCCTTGAGAGGGCAGTGTTCAATTGCTCAGAATTGTTGCTAGTTTCATTACTGGCTGTTATACAACTTAAAGTTTTCTCCCATAATGCAGTCAGGTTACTGTATGTCTCTTCCTTACTTGCTTCATAAGCCTCCCTTGCCTTCAAAGATGGATGAGGGGCTCTAACAGGACGGGCAGAATGCAGCATGGTGTCTGTTTTATCTTGATTACATGCAGGTGACTCATCAGTGGGATCTCTGACAGACATAATGACAAGTGCTGTGGTTTTAGTGTCTTGTTGGAAATCTGCAGAAATCTGTAGTTACTTTTATTTGCAAGCAGGCTGAGCTGGGGAGCTGAATATTTGTATCAATGAGGCAGCTAGAGCAGCAGCCTGGCTCACACTGGATGCTTCACTCAGTGCACAGACAAGATTATTGTTCTTCATACAGGAGAATGGTTACTCACAGTTCTGAAGCTGCAGAGATGGCTGTGTGATGAATTCTCATGGAGATTTACTGGAAATTTACTGTTCTGTCTTGGCATCGGTTGTACTTGTGGCGAGATTCGTTTAGACCCAGTCTGTCAGAATGTGTGCAGCAAGTTGAATGATCGCCTTAACAGATAGTTTACTCAATGAATAACAACTTCAGAGGTATTTTCCAATGCTTCTTTATGCTTCAAGGTAACAAAGGTGTGAACATAAAGGTGTTTTCATAGGTAAACTTCCAGTGATGTACATAGCCTCCTCACTCTACAGCATCTTGATAACTACTAAACTAAAATGGGTTACAACAGGAAATGAAGGTGGAAGCAACCAACTAGTCAGAAACAGCAGGGGTGTGTGGATGATACCAAATAACATTATAACATAACATGTAAATGACAACTGCTAAACAGTAAAGCTGCGTGGCAGCACAATACACACACACACACACACACACACACACACTCACACTCACACTCACACTCACACTCACACTCACACACACACTCACACACACTCTCTCTCTTTATTGCCAAAAGTATTGGTCGGCTTGCCTTTTCCACACACATGCATTTTAATGGCCTCCTAGTCTCAGTCCGTAGGGTTCAATATTGAGTTGGCCCCGCCCTTTGCAGCTATAACAGCTTCAACTCTTCTGGGAAGGCCGTCCACAAGGTTTAGGAGGGTGTCTATGGGAAGGTTGGACCATTCTTCCAGAACCACATTTGTCAGGTCAGGCACTGATGTCGGGGGGAGGAGGCCTGGCTCGCAGTCTCCGCTCTAATTCATCTCAAAGGTGTTCTATGGGGTTGAGGTCAGGACTCTGTGCAGGACAGTCAAGTTCCTCCACCCCAAACTGGCTCCTCCATGTCTTTATGGACCTTGCTTTGTGCATTGGTGTGCACTCATGTTGGAACAGGAAGGGGCCATCCCCAAACTCTTCCCACAAAGTTGGGAGCATGAAGTTGTCCAAAATGTCTTGGTATGCTGACGCCTTAAGAGTTCCCTTTCCTGGAACTAGGGGGCCAAGCCCAACCCCTGAAAGACAACCCCACACCATAATCTCCCCTCCACCAAACTTTACACTTGGCACAATGCAGTCAGGTAAGTACCGTTCTCCTGGCAACCGCCAAACCCAGACACGTCCATCAGATTGCCAGACAGAGAAGCGTGATTGGTCACTCCAGAGAACACGAGTTCTAGAGTCCAGTGGCAGCGTGCTTTACGCCACAGCATCCGACGCTTTGCATTGCACTTGGTGATGGAAGGCTTGGATGCAGCTGCTCGGCCATGGAAACCCATTTCATGAAGCTCTCTACGCACTGTTGTTGGGCTCATCTGAAGGCCAAACCAAGTTTGGAGGTCTTTAGCTATTGACTCTGCAGACAGTTGGCGACTTCTGCGCACTGTGCGCTTCAGCATGCGCTGACCCCGCTCTGTCATGTGACGTGGCCTACCACTTGGTGGCTGAGTGGCGGCTGTTCCCAGTTGCTTCCACTTTGTTATAATCCCACTAACAGTTGAACGTGGAATATTTAGTAGCCAGGAAATGTCCCGGATGGACTTATTGCCCAGGTGGCCACCTATCACGGGACCACGCTTGGAGTCACTGAGCTCCTGAGAGCGACCCATTCTTTCACCAATGTTTGTAGAAGCCGTCTGCATGCCTAGGGGCTTGATTGTATACATCTGTGTCCATGGAGGGGATTGGAACACCTGAATCACATGATTGGGAGGGGATTGGAACACCTGAATCACATGATTGGGAGGGGATTGGAACACCTGAACCACATGATTTGTAGGGCGGGGCCAGTACTTTTGGTAATATAGTGTGTGTGTGTGTAGGATAATGATGGAGATAGGGAATGAGTAGAATTTATTTCTGCTTCAATCCTACTGTAGGCGCTCCTGCATCCGCCCTCAAGACCTTTTCACCATCCGCTCTCTAAATATGTCCTGATCAGGCAAGCATGCGTTTTATATACATGGAAAATAATAAGGTGTATTTCTTGTTATGACTATTGGTATATTTATACATGTGTTGTTTACAGCCTACGGCACCACCTACCCAACCAGTCCTGAGGGAGTGAGTAAAGGTTCACGAAACGCGTAGACAATTTGAGTATGGAGACGCTGGTGGCAATGCCCAGAGAACCCAATTATGTTACAACTATCAAACTATACAAATATGCAGGGATTGATATTATTATTATTCAGGATTTATATAGTGCCAACAGTTTGCGTAGCGCTGTACAAAATGAAGGTAGACATTACAGTTCCAATACAATTTGGTACAAGAGGCAACAGAGGGCCCGGCTCCTGGGAGCTTACAATCTATATATGACTTGTATTTAGGCCTATTCCAGACTCCATCTCAGGGTTGGGTGTCTTTCTATCTTCTCTCAGACAGAACATCTAGATGGTGTTGTGTTGTTTTTATAAAACTTCTTATGTTTTACTATGTGGAAATAAAAATTTGTGAAGTTGCCTGGCTAGGCAATGTGGTGGGGCTTTGCGAATCCCAGTGGCAGCTGAAGAAGATTGCTAAATATTTGGCGTTTTTCAAGATTCGCCCACCCGCAGAGGAATGAAAAGACGACCTGTGATGTTACATCAGAGAAACCTGGAAAAAGGTAAGTATAATGATATTAAAAAAAAAAAGTTTAGGATGCTCCTATGGGGGTTGGAGCAAACCAAATGGGAGGTCATGAACCCAGAGGTGTGGTGTAATCCTCCTAAATAACATGCTTTCTGTTACAGACATCGGAGCCCCGAGAAGAAATCTCGCCCCTTGATGACACATCTTCTTCCAGCAGTTCTATGTGGAAGGTCACCCTGCTCCTGAAGGTCCTCCTGTGGCTGGTCCTGCTGGGACTCTTTGTAGAACTTGAGTTTGGAATGGTGTACTTTGTCCTCTCCATGTTTTACTGGCTGTATGAAGGAACTCGCAGACCTGGGCAGAGAAGGAAAGGAGAGAAGAGCGCCTACTCCGTCTTCAACCCGGGATGTGAGGCCATCGACGGGACATTGACTGCCGAACAGTTTGAGAGGGAACTGCAGTACAGACCATTGGCTGGGACATAGCTATGAGACATAGCGGCTTGACATCTAGATGTAGAAAGTTAATAAAGTGCCTGAAAGACCCCTGAATGCCCAAATGTCATTCCTATGTCAGGTTTTGTAGGCTATACATAGTTGTCAAGTGTCCACGTTCTGTATCGCAGGCCACCAATTTAGCAAATTGTTGTATGCCTCCCATGTCTTACGGAATGTCCCACCAGGCAGGGGAAGCTCAAACTGCTGCAATGGGTGATGCCCAAAGGGCAAATTGTGCCCTATCTCAAGATCCCTACAATATCACTGCCTATTCTGCTATTTCCTCCTAAAATGGAACTGGAAAGATGGAGGCTTTCCAAAATGCACCAGAGATTGTTGATCCAGGGAATATCCCAGCCAGGGGTCTCCACACTTTTCATTATTAGGTCCACATTGTAAATTTTACAAATATTCGTGGGCCAAGAAAATTCCTATTGGTACCCCATTACATCAGACTACCCATCAGAGACCCCCTTTACATCAGCTCCCCCCTTCCTCCCTTACATCAGAGTCTCCATTAGATTCTTTTTACATCAGAGTCCCCTTTAACCGCTTCCATACCGGGCACTTTTACCCCCTTCCTGCCCAGGCCATTTCAGGTTTCAGCGCTCTCACATTTTGAATGACAATTGCGCGGTCATACAACATTGTACCCAACCTAAATTTTATAATTTTCTTCACACAACTAGAGCTTTCTTTTGGTGGTATTTAATCATTACTGGGGTTTTTATTTTTTGCTAAATTAACAAAAAAAGACCAAAAATTTAAAAAAAAACCCACGTTTTTCTTTGTTTCTGTTATAAAAGTTTGCAAATAAATAATTGTTCTTCATAAATTTAGGCCGAGATGTATTCTGCTACATGTCTTTGGTGAAAATAACCCAAATTAGGATGTATTATTTAGTCTGTAGGAAAGTTATAGAGTTCACAAACTATGGTATAGATCTGAATATTGATCAATCCTGAAGTACTGACAGCCAATCTAATTTCTTGAGGTCCAAGAATGGCAGAACAGTACAGATATCCCCCAAATGTCAGGACGGTACAGATATCCCCCAAATGTCAGGACAGTACAGATATCCCCCAAATGTCAGGACGGTACAGATATCCCCCAAATGTCAGAACGGTACAGATATCCCCCAAATGTCAGAACGGTACAGATATCCCCCAAATGTCAGAACGGTACAGATATCCCCCAAATGTCAGGACAGTACAGATATCCCCCAAATGTCAGGACAGTACAGATATCCCCCAAATGTCAGGACAGTACAGATATCCCCCAAATGTCAGGACAGTACAGATATCCCCCAAATGTCAGGACGGTACAGATATCCCCCAAATGTCAGACGGTACAGATATCCCCCAAATGTCAGGACAGTACAGATATCCCCCAAATGTCAGAACGGTACAGATATCCCCCAAATGTCAGAACGGTACAGATATCCCCCAAATGTCAAAACGGTACAGATATCCCCCAAATGTCAGAACGGTACAGATATCCCCCAAATGTCAGGACAGTACAGATATCCCCCAAATGTCAGGACAGGACAGATATCCCCCCAAATGTCAGGACAGGACAGATATCCCCCCAAATGTCAGGACAGGACAGATATCCCCCCAAATGTCAGGACAGATATCCCCCCAAATGTCAGAACGGGACAGATATCCCCCCAAATGTCAGGACAGATATCCCCCAAATGTCAGAACAGGACAGATATCCCCCAAATGTCAGACAGGACAGATACCCCCCAAATGTCAGGACAGTACAGATATCCCCCAAATGTCAGGACAGGACAGATATCCCCCAAATGTCAGGACAGGTACAGATATCCCCCCAAATGTCAGGACAGGACAGATATCCCCCCAAATGTCAGGACAGATATCCCCCCAAATGTCAGAACGGGACAGATATCCCCCCAAATGTCAGGACAGATATCCCCCAAATGTCAGAACAGGACAGATATCCCCCAAATGTCAGGACAGGACAGATACCCCCCAAATGTCAGAACGGTACAGATTCCCCCCAAATTTCAAGATGGTACAGATATCCCCCAAATGACCCTTTTTTGCAGAGTAGACAGTCCAACGTATTTCATAACAGGCATGGGTTTTTTTGAAGTTGTAATTTTTTTTGTCATAATTTCGGAAAATTAAAAAAAATTATTTTCACAATTTTTTTTTTTTACATACTGTCACCAGTGCAATACAGCGTCATCATATATAACTGGCATGGCAGTGATCAGGGACACTGGTGACAGTACAAAAAAAAAAAAGATAATAAAAAAAAAAAAAACATTTTATTTTATTATTTTACATTTTTTATTACATTTTTTTCTCAAGATTTTTTTTTCATATTGCACTATGACCAAAGTAGCATAACCCCATGAGATGCCCCTGGTACCTTTTTCATAGGCTTTTTTGAGTTTGGGCAAAGACACAGGGGCCCCATGATCCCCTATTGCCCGGGGGCCCCATGAGTTGTCAGTCCGCCCCTGCGGGACTGTCTCTGAAAATCCATCCAGGACAGCTGGTATCAACGTAATTCATAGTTTCTTTTTTTGGTTACTTTTATTGCCGACCTTCACTGGCTGCTTTCTTGATTTTTGAATGGCGTCGTTCATTTTCAGCTCGTGTCCAGCCATGGATCCCAGGTGTCTCCCTGTAGCCGTCATTTCCCCGGCACTCTCACCGTTGGCTGTTTTCTGTCTTTTTATTTGCCAATTTAATTTTTTATGCTTCTGGAACATCAAACCGACCCCCTTCAGGACTTCTGCAGGGCTTAAAGAATCATCTCGGTCCAAAACGCAGCTCCTGCGATTATACATCTGTCTATAAAAAGTCTTTGAAGGTGGATGAAGTGTACGCTCCAACTGCTTCTCCGGATATTTGTACTTCTCTATTGCCTCCATACTGGTCCTTGGAGCACCTTGCCGGATTTATGGGTCCGTAATTAAATCGTATTTTTGCCGGACTGAGCAGAATTAACCACTTTAAGACCCGGCTTTTTATGACACTTTTTTTTTTTTTTTTGCTAGAAAATAACTTAAAACTCTCCCAACATTATATATTTTTTTTAAAGCAGAAGCCCTAGAGAATAAAATGGTGGGTGTTGCATTTTTTTTTTTTGGCACACGGAATTTACGCAGCGGATTTTCAAACAAATTTTCAATCAAATTTAAAAAAAATGCACTTTTTTTTAACCGCTTGCCGACCGCCCTATAGCAGAAATACTGCTACAGGGAGGCACGAACGAGTGCGCAAAATCACGTATATATACAGTGAGGAACAGAAGTATTTGAACCCCCTGCAATTCTGCAAGTTCTCCCACTTAGAAATCATGGAGGGGTCTGACATTCACAATGTAGGGACATTCCCACTCTGAGAAACAGAATAAAAAAAAAATTCAGGAATCACATTGTATGATTTGTAAAGAATGTATTTGTCTCGCACGGCTGAACAGAAGTATTTGAACCCCTGAGAAACAGCAAGAATTCTGACTCTCAAAGACCTGTCACTGTGCCTTTAAAACGTCCACCTCTACTCCACTCATTCATCTCACTTAGTAGCACCTGTCTGAGCTCTTTAAAGACACCTGTCCACCCCACAGTCAGTCAGACGCCAACTACTACCATGGGCAAGACCAAAGAGCTGTCAAAAGACACCAGAGACAAAATTGTGGACCTCCACAAGGCTGGAAAGGGCTACGGGGCAATTGCCAAGCAGCTTGGTGAAAATAGATCAACTGTTGGAGCAATTGTTAGAAAATGGAAGAGGCTAAAGACGACTGTCAGTCTCCCTCGGACTGGGGCTCCATGCAAGATGTCACCTCGGGGGGGTATCACTGATGATAGGAAAGGTGAGGAATCAGCCCAGAACTACAAGGGGGAGCTGGTCAATGGCATGAAGAGAGCTGGGACCGCAGTTTCAAAGGTCACTGTCGGTAGAACACTACGCCGTCATGGTTTCCAATCATGCATTGCACGGAAGGTTCCCCTGCTCAAGTCATCACATGTCCAGGCCCGTCTGAAGTTTGCCAATGACCATCTGGATGATCCAGAGGAGGCATGGGAGAAAGTCATGTGGTCAGATGAGACCAAAGTAGAACCTTTTGGTCTAAACTTCACTCGTCGTGTTTGGAGGAAAAAGAAGGATGAGTTGCATCCCAAGAACACCATCCCTACTGTGAAGCATGGGGGTGGGAACATCATGCTTTGGGGGTGCTTTTTTCTGTGAAGGGGACAGGACAACTGCACTGTATTATGGAGAGGATGAATGGGGCCATTTATTGTGAGATTTTCAGCAACAACCTCCTTCCCTTAGTCAGAGCATTGAAGATGGGTGGTGGCTGGGTCTTCCAACATGACAACGACCCGAAGCACACATCCAGGATAACCAAGGAGTGGCTCCGTAAGAAGCATATCAAGGTTCTGGAGTGGCCTAGCCAGTCTCCACACCTAAATCCAATAGAACATCTTTGGAGGGAGCTGAAACTCTGTGTTGCTCAGCGACAGCCCCGAAACCTGACAGATCTAGAGGAGATCGGTGTGGAGGAGTCGGCCAAAATCCCTGTTGTAGTGCAAACCTGGTCAGGAACTACAGGAAACGTCTGACCTCTGTAATTGCAGACAAAGGCTTCTGTACCAAATATTAACACGGATCTTCTCAGGGGTTCAAATACTTCTGTTCAGCTGTGCCAGACAAATACATTCTTTACAAATCATACAATGGGATTTCCTGAATTTGTTTTTAAATTCTGTCTCCTAGAGTGGGAATACACCTACAATGTGAATGTCAGACCCCTCCATGATTGATTTCTAAGTGGGAGAACTTGCAAAATCGCAGGGGGTTCAAATACTTCTATTCCTCATTGTACGTGATTTTGCATTTCCGGGTAGGGGGCAATCACCGTGTCCTGGCCGGTGATTACTCACCGGTGCCCGGTGATTTCTGAGGATCTCCGATGGGGAGGAGAACTATTTTGTTTGCTAACAGTTCTCACTGGCAGGAGGTACCACACATGTCCTTTGCACTTTGACTTTTTGTTTCGATGTGTGTCCAGTGTCCACAACTGGGTAAAAAATAATACCTGGTGATCCTGCCTATAAGGTCATAGTTCAGGCAGTAGCGGGCCAGAAAGACAGGACGTACTACACATGCCCTGTGTACTTTGATGATGTTTTTTGGACATGTAGCATGTCCAGGATCCACAACTGGTTAAAATAATCACTGGTCATCCTGCAATGAAGGTCATTGTTCAGGGACTTTCAATTAAAAGGGTTTAGGGTGGGCAGTAGCAGGCCAGAAAGACAGGATGTACTACACACGTCCCATATACTGTGATTACTTTTTTTGGATGTGTAGCATGTCTAGTGTCTACAACTGGTTGACATAATCTCTAGTGATCCTGCCATGAAGGTCATTGTTCCAGCCCTTACTGTTGAAGGGTAAAGAGAGGAGGGGCAGAAAGACAGGACGTACTGCACATGTCCTGTGTACTCTGTTGATGTTTTTTGGACGTGTAGCATGTCCAGGATCCACAACTGGTTAAAATAATCACTGGTCATCCTGCAATGAAGGTCATTGTTCAGGGACTTCCCATTAAAAGGGTTTAGGGGGGGCAGTAGCAGGTCAGAGAGACGGGATGTACTACACACGTCCCATATACTGTGATGACTTTTTTTGGATGTGTAGCATGTCTAGTGTCCACAACTGGTTGAAATAATCTCTAGTGATCCTGCCATGAGGGTCATTGTTCCAGCCCTTACTGTTGAAGGGTGAAGAGAGGAGGGGCAGAAAGACAGGACGTACTGCACATGTCCTGTGTACTCTGTTGATGTTTTTTGGATGTGCAGCATGTCCAGTATCCACAACTGGTTAAAATACTCCCTGGTCATCCTGTCATGAAGGTCATTGTTCAGGCACTTTCCATTAAAAGGGTTTGGGGGGGCAGAAGCAGACCAGAAAGACAGGACATACTACACACGTCCTGTGTACTGTGATGACTTTTTTTGGATGTGTAGCATGTCTAGTGTCTACAACAGGTTGAAATAATCCCTAGTGATCCTGCCATGAAGGTCATTGTTTCCGCCCTTACTGTTGAAGGGTGAAGGGGGAGGAGAAGCAGCAGTGGCAGGAAGACAGGGCATATTACAAATGTTTTTTGGACGTGTGTAGCATGTCCATTGTGCACAACTAATCCCACCTGTTCCCTGGCTTTATGCAGAGTCCTGTCCACTGCACAGCAAGTCCACTCTGATGCACCAAAGTCATCGGCCCTCATAAATCACTCTCAGTGTTCTGTCATAACTTTGCTGGCACCTTGGAGATATGATCTTTATTGCATAATCAGAAGTATACATATCTCATACCTGTGGGGCCGCTGTGAAAGGTGGCAATCACTGTAATAGTTCCCACTGGGCCAATGTAAGTACACATAACCCATACCTGGCCAGTCCCTGGAAGAATCACTATAGTAGTCCTTGCTGGCCTCCGGCCATGACAAGCGGCCACCCTTCTGCATAGGGACCACAAAGGGTCCCTTGCTCAGCACTGCCCCATTTATAAAACATCTATTTTTTATTAAATTGATTGGATAAGGTGGAAAGGTGAGACAGTGACATCACAATCTCCACCTCGTCCAATCAGAGACCACCTTGTGTTCAATGATAAAAATATGAGGCATTTTGTGAATGGTGGAAGTGAGCACCCCCTGTGGTCGGTGTGCAGAAGGGCAGCCACTTGGCACAGGACCGGAAGATCGGGAATATCACTGTAGTTGCACCAAGTACTGCAATGGTTGTCACCCTCCACCACGGTCCCACAGATATGAGATATACAAACTTACATTGTATCGAGCTGAAGCAATGGAAATATGCAATAAAGATCTTACCAGGAGTTCAGCTTTAACTCCAGCATCACTTCTTGTACTAACATCTCTGTGATTTACATTGTATCTACACCGGCTGAATCTGCTTATCCTCCAAAATACTTTCAGTAATTAACTTGCTATCTGCTGTTCCTGTTAATGTACCTTTGTACCTGAACCGGAATCCATCACCAGCAATGTCACCATAACCTACCCGGCACTGTGCAAGGAATTGCTGATCGCTCACCGCAGATGTATCTCTCAGCAAATCTGGACTTAATTATTACAGAATGCGCACCATTTCCTCAGCATTGCTTGAAGGATTTCTTCCCATATTCCCCCTCCTGGCTGGTTCATTGATATTTACAGTCCTGCAGGTGCTGAACACTCTGGTCCGTGTAAATACACTATATTGCCATAAGTATTGGCCCCGCCCTCCCAATCATGTGATTCAGGTGTTCCAATCCCCTCCCAATCCCAATCATGTGATTCAGGTGTTCCAATCCCCTCCATGGACACAGGTGTATACAGTCAAGCCCCTAGGCATGCAGACGGCTTCTACAAACATTGATGAAAGAATGGGTCGCTCTCAGGAGCTCAGTGACTCCAAGCGTGGTCCCGTGATAGGTGGCCACCTGGGCAATAAGTCCATCCGTGACATTTCCTGGCTACTAAATATTCCACGCTCAACTGTTAGTGGGATTATAACAAAGTGGAAGCAACTGGGAACAACAGCCACTCAGCCACCAAGTGGTAGGCCACGCCACATGACAGGGCGGGGTCAGCGCATGCTGAAGCGCACAGTGCGCAGAAGTCGCCAACTGTCTGCAGAGTCAATAGCTAAAGACCTCCAAACTTGGTGTGGCCTTCAGATGAGCCCAACAACAGTGCGTAGAGAGCTTCATGGAATGGGTTTCCATGGCCGAGCAGCTGCATCCAAGCCTTCCATCACCAAGTGCAATGCAAAGCGTCGGATGCCGTGGTGTAAAGCATGCTGCCACTGGACTCTAGAGCAGTGGAAACGTGTTCTCTGGAGTGACCAATCACACTTCTCTGGCAATCCGATGGACGTGTCTGGGTTTGGCAGTTGCCAGGAGAATACTACTTGCCTGACTGCATTGTGCCAAGTGTAAAGTTTGGTGGAGGGGGGATTATGGTGTGGGGTTGCGTTTCAGGGGTTGGGCTTGGCTCCTTAGTTCCAGTGAAGGGAATTCTTAAGGCGTCAGCATACCAAGACATTTTGGACAACTTTGTGGGAAGAGTTTGGGGATGGCCTCTTCCTGTCCCAACATGACTGTCCACCAGTGCACAAAGCAAGGTCCATAAAGACATGGAGGAGCCAGTTTGGGGTGGAGGAACTTGACTGTCCTGCACAGAGTCCTGACCTCAACCCCATAGAACACCTTTGGGATGAATTAGAGCGGAGACTGTGAGCCAGGCCTCCTCCCCCGACATCAGTGCCTGACCTGACAAATGTGCTTCTGGAAGAATGGTCCAACCTTCCCATAGACACCCTCCTAAACCTTGTGGACGGCCTTCCCAGAAGAGTTGAAGCTGTTATAGCTGCAAAGGGCGGGGCCAACTCAATATTGAACCCTACGGACTAAGACTGGGGGGCCATTAAAGGTCATGTGTGGGGAAAGGGCGGGGCCAACTCAATATTGAACCCTACGGACTAAGACTGGGGGGCCATTAAAGGTCATGTGTGTGGAAAGGCCGGCGGCCCAATACTTGGGGCAATATAGTGTAGCAATATCCTGCAAGAGATTAAAGGGGAGCTAAGGGCATCTTGTGGTGGAATTAGGTACTGTGGGGGACAACTCCTGACTGTAGGTGACCAGTATAGTCTGGACTGCTCTCTTTTATTTTTACCCTTCCTGGGGGCCCTTTTCAATAAAGAAAAAAAAAATTTGCCCATAGTTGGGCTTTAAAGTGGAACTAAACTCTCTCAGTCAGCATGAACTATTTGTAATCTTTATGCTGCTAGCATTAGTAGATAGATAAAAAGTTTTATTATGTTTACTTGTTTTAAACTTATTTTTTTTACATTCTTCAATTGCTTCCTGGTTTCTGGCCTTGGCTAAAATGATGTCATACATCACAGGAGACTTCATGGGCTTACTCAGCTAAGCACACCCTCCTGCCTGCGTGCCTGAACTAACATTAGATGGATTCCAGAAAGTAAATGCTACCTGAATCATCTGCCCTTACTCAAGATGGCCGCAGGTAGAAATGCTAAGGGGGGTGTTTTGTAAAGTGACTTCTCAGCAAAATTAACCATAGAGACATGGATGGATGGGGGAGTTTGCTTTGAATATTGAAACTGAATTAAATAGGGTTTTTAGTTTGTGGTGCTCAGATACAGTTAAAGGGATATTAAAGGTTAATTTTTTTATTTTTTAAAAAGAAGAAACATATTATACTTACCAGTCCTGTGCAGTGGTTTTGCACTGAGCAGCCCCAAACCCCTCTTCTCGAGTCTCCAGCAAACGCGCTTCTGGCTCCTCCCCATTGGCCAATGCCCCCAATAGCAAGCCGCTTGCTAGGGGGGGCACTGGTGCATGCTGCTCCCAAGCCCCGCTCTGAGCCGCAGCCGAGCCCCACCCTCCTCACTGGCAGTCATTGTATCCAGTGGGAGCCAATGGCTCTCTCTTACCCAGGGGCAGAGACAACCATGGGGCCAGCTTCATGCCCTGTCCCCCCACACTCTCCATACCCAAAAAACTACCAGGGGCAGTCATTGACTAACCCCTGGGGCTCTGGGAGCTATATGGTCTCCGCCCCTGGTGTCTCAGCTGATGAGGAGAGAGAGACCCAGAACAGCTGATAGCTGCATTGAGATGGGGCTCAGGTAAGTATTGCTCGGGGGGCTGCTGGGGGTACCTTATGCATGAAGATGAAAAAAGCCTTCAGCCTTTACAATCATTTTAAGTTTTTGATTTGATTCCAGCCTAATAGCAGCCACAGCAAGGTGCCTCATAATCTTTTTTCCCTCTCTGAAGCTAGGTCCATTTTTGTTACTAAGGGCCTAACTGAAATAGACCTTGCCTCCTCCATCCAGACAGGGCCTTTTTTGGCCACTGTGCCCCACTGGACATGGAGGAAAGGCAGTATCAGAGGAGCACAGGGCTTCATGGTTTTCGGATAAAAGATGTCTTGTGGGGTCTTCTCCTGGGCAGGATTTTACCTTCGACACCATCTTTTGGATGACACTTTACCCTACCACCTCCTGGATTACTGGTCCAGATCAGAAGCAGCTGCACAAGGCTCTAGACAGAGTCCTAACAAGCAGAGCATTTAGCTTCCATAGAGAAATGCTTGTATTTAATTCTCTTTAATAATGAATAGTAGCTGACAAGTTTTCCCCGGAGTCCCGAAGAAGAATTAGACTTTTTCTGATGCCAGGAGGAATCTGTGGTAAGATAAACCATGTGACAGCTCATCTAACAGAAGCAGCGGGAATCGGACACCGAGACACATGAAATATACTTGTTACATCTCTCTCTGGTTTCGGATGAGTTACTATTTCTGCAGCTGGCATAAACAAATCCGTCCCTGAAAAATAGAGCAAAACTGTACAGAACAATAGATGCGATTCTGGCCGAGACACCATTCAGATAAAGAAATCTCTCCAGAATTTAAAAAGGCTTGTTAAACCCCCAGGAGACCCAGTGCACATAGCAATCATCCCAATTAAAATATGTGCTGCGGTTACTGAGCAGTGTGATTGGATAGCTAGCCCACTCTCCCACCACTTTCAGACCACACTGGATCAAGAAGCTTTGACCATGCTGAAACAAGGAGATGGACTTCTAGCTCTGACCACACAGAAGCAAGGAGGTGGACTTCTAGCTTCAACCACGTTGAAGCGAGGAGATGGACTTTTAGTTCCAACCACACCGAAGCAAGGATATGGACTTCTAGCTTTGACCGTGCTAGACCAAGGAGATGGACTTCTAGCTTCTACCATGCTGGAGCAAGGACATGGAATTCTAGCTTCAATCATGCTGTAGCAAGGATATGGATTTCTAGCCATGTCCACACCAGAGCAAGAAGATGGACTTCTAGCTTTGACTGCACTACAGTAAGGAGATGGATTTCTAGCTTCTACCATGCTGGAACAAGGAGATGGACTTCTAACTCTGACCATACTGCAGCAAGGAAATTGAATTCCAGCTCTGACTATGCTGGAGCCCAACGTAGCTCTGACCAGGCTGGACAGGGAGATGGACTTCTAGCACCAACCATGCTGCCGCAAGGAAATGGACTTCTAGCTTTGACCATGCTAGAGCAAGGAGATGGACTATTAGCTCTGACCACGCTGAAACAAGGAGATGAACTTCTAGATCCAACTATGCTGGAGCAAGGACATAAACTTCTAATTCTGACCATGCTGGAGGAAGGACGTGGAATCCTAGCTCCAACCACACCAGAGCAAGGAGATGGACTTCTAGCTCTGACTACATTGAAGCAAGGATATAGACTTCTAGCTCTAACCACGCTGGAGCAAAGAGATGGATTTCTAGCTTCAACCATGCTGGAGAAAGCAGATGGACTTCTAGCTCTGACCATATCGGAGGAAGGAGATGGACTTCTAGCTCCAACAATGCTGGAGCAAGGAGATGGACTTCTAGTTTTGATTACACTGGAACAAAGAGCTGGACTTCTAGCTCTGACCATGCTGGAGCAAGGAGCTGGACTTCCAACTTTGGCCATGCTGGAGCAAATAGATGTCCTTCCAGCTTTGACCACCACGAAGCAAGGAGATGGACTTTGAGCTCTGACCATGCTGGAGCAAGGAGATGGACTTTGAGCTCTGACCATGCTGGAGCAAGGAAATGGACTTGTAGCTATGACCATGCTGGAGCAAAAATATAGACTTGTAGCTCTGGCCATGCTGGAGCAAGGGGATGGACTTGTGATTCTTACCATGCTGTAGCAAGGAGATGGACCTCTAGCTTTAACCATCCTGGAGCAAGGGAATGGACTTCTAGCTTCAACCAACTTGGAGTAGGGAGATTGACCTCTAGCTTTGACCAACCGGAAGTGAGGAGATGCCTATAGCTCTGACCATGCTGGAGCAAGAAGATGGACTTCTATCTCTGACCTTTCTGGAGCAAGAAGATGAACATCTAGCTTTGACCACACTGGAGCAAGGAGATGGACTATTAGAGCTTTGACCACGTTGGAGCAAGGAAATAGACTTCTAACTTTGACCACACTGAAACAAAGACATGAACTTCTAGCTCTGACAATACTAGAGCAAGGAGATGGAATTCTGACTGAAGTAGCATACCCCCCACCTGCTTTATAAGCTGCCAGTTGGAACACCCACAGCCCTCTTTGCCATGCAGCCTGTACCTTCTTGGCTCCCATTGTACTGATAAGAGATTGAGCCCACAACCTCCTGCAGCCACCAGCTTGTTCAGTGGAGATGACTACAGTAAAAGCTGTTAGTAGCTGGAGGGGGAGTGCTGAAACACAAGCCCACATTGACACACATTGGCAGCCACTACAATTGTCTGAGAGACTAGCGTAGCAACTGCTGGCATGTGTTGCTGTTGGCTTGTATTTTGTGTGAATGACAGCACTCCTTTCCATGCTGCATGTTGTCACCCTGTGGACAGGGATGTCTAAGATGAACTTTAATAATGTTAGCTGAAGGTGGGCTTTAATTTGTCTTTTCAAAGCAGTTAAACATTTTTTTTTGGTAAAAGGGATGTAAACCCAATAAATAAAATCTGATCATTGTGGGCACCCCTGGCCATGGTATATGGATTGTCTCTACCCTGTAGCTGTCACTTTTACCGGACAGCTTGGCCTGTTACAAGAAATGCTAACATAACAAATCTACTGGCAGGATCACCAGGTAGAAAAAACTTTATTAAAAGAGGGACTCAGTTAAACAAAAACTACTGTATTATTGCTAGGGACATACTGTACAACATCATATATGCCATTTATTTTTTATTTTTTCCATAGTTCCATTTTAAATATCACTGTTGGGCGA